AAGTAGAAGTAGAAGAAACCAATAAATAAAACTGAAAGCTATTAAGTGACAAAATAGGCAAAATTTCTCTGAAACAAAAAAAGTGAAATGGCAAAAATAAAGAAGGCATCCAAGCAGAGCATTTATGTCATCAAAAGGAGAAAACTACCAAGATGCCACAGGATTTCTTATGGCAATATTCAGTGCTTGGACTTAATAGAGAAATGTGTTCACAAATCTGAGGCAAGGAAGGCATGAACCATTAATAACACTCCCAAAAAAGAATAAAGGCAACAGTCAGACACCTGAAGCATGAAATGTTATGTTTCAAGGATTAAAAAACCAACTAACACTATTACAGTTCTTTTAGAACCTATCTAGCAAAATTTCTGGCTTTTCCTAGAAAATCCCCCATGCAGGGAAATAAAACAAATCAAAACTAACAAACAAAACTAATTAAGAATATGAGGGAAGAAGGAATCATCTGACTAATCAACTGAGAAATGGAAAATCCATAAGATAAAGAAGACTTGTGATGATGAGTACTGCAGCCATTTATATGTAGAATGAAGACCAAAGACCAGAGACAGTTAAAGTTGCAGAAGAACCAAATGAAAACATTATGAATTCGGACAAAGTTAAAGTAATATAATTACAAACAAACTGGAAATGAAGAGAAGTGAGGACAAACTGGAGAGGCGCTAATCATCTTCAATTACACTGCAGGGAGTTAACAAAAGCTATCTGAAATTAAAACACAAAGCTAATGCATTCAGCTTCTTAATAGCATTTATCATCTTTTATTCTTAACCATAAAGACAAGCTTTATTTTTAAAAAGTTCTTATGATAAAGAAATATTTAAGTAAGTTCAGCCATTTTCTAATTTATTTTTCATTATTTTTTCTATAAAATTACATATATTAATTACAAATATTCTTCATGTATCTATATATTTTATTTTATTTGTGCAAATATATAATTATATAACTGTGGTATGTTCATGAAATGTTAACAGTTTTTTTTTTCTGAGTATAAAGGCTTTAGAGTGGTTTGTATTTTTTAAACTTGACTAAAGTAATTACTGTAAACGTATACACTTTATCTGCATAAAAATCTAAACATAATATGATTTGATAACCATGTTAAGAAAATTATTATGAAAGCCTTTAGATATCTATGTATATGAATTAGCTTGTACAAAAGAAAGAAATCTAAACAGAGGAGGAGATTTGCTGTGATGCCTAAAAGAAACAGGTAAGGAGGTTAGTATGTTGTGTAATCAGGAAAGACATTTGCTGTGCTTGCCTTGCCCCATGGCTTTGTGTCTGAACTCCATAAAGAATAATTGAACACGCAAGTTGCAAAACTGGTGGAACCTAGAACTGGGCTAACATCACAGTGAAATGGACATGATGAGAAAAGCAGAGCCTTATTCAAACCTCTGCTAATACGGGTGTCCTGAGAACTCAAAACTTATTTGCTTAACTGTGAACTTATCAGAATTTGAACTATCTGGTAGTAATTCCTCTGTCACCATTACCAGTCTGTCATGTAGGAAGCTGGGATCAGTGGCAGTGCTGAGGTACCACCTCAACTAAGAATCCTTGAACAGGAAACAAACCAACCAACCAAGAGAGCTGTTCAGTCCCTCTCAGACAAGAGGTTCTGAAAAACAACACGATGCAAATTTTGCTGGGTAGAAGAAGTTAAATGCATGGAACACATTACAACTTTGGACTCATGAAACCCTGGGAAACATACTCCAATTAAGTTTTTTAAAAGTCTGAATATTAGATGTCCTAAATTCCTGATATTTTAAATGTTTTGACCTGAAGTTGGACTAAGGGCCTTGAAAATAGATGCAGAATGTTATCATCATTACCTTTTATATAAACTAGCCCAAATTATACTTCCTTTGATTTGTTCTTGTCTGAATAATATTATATATTTAACTTCACAATGTTCTATGAGTAATTTTCCCTGAGAATAATGTTAATTTTGAAAAATGCCAGATATAGGTGATGGGGAGGAAGGCAGCAAATCACACTGCCATGTGTGTACCTATGCAACAATCTTGCATGTTCTTCACATGTACCCCAAAACCTAAAATGCAATTTAAAAAAATTTGAAAAATACATTGAATTCTAAGATATTTCCTGGATACACTATGATATGTTTTTCTATTTTGGGTTTTTTAATAGACTACTTAGAAAAGGTTAATATTTGAAAACCATGAAGAAGGGTGTAAATTGCTGAGCCTAATAATATAACTTTAACTGTCTGTAGATATTTAGCAATGGGGAGCAGGTGAGAGGAGCTTGTAACGTTGGTCCAGCCCATAGTTGATTAGGTTAGGCGACTAGATGTGTATCTATGGGCACCTGCATTTTCTGTCCAATAAATCTCTTTATTACTTTTCCATGTGTAGGACTAAATGCCTGTACAACAAAGTAACTATAAATAAGAAAATTCTGTATGTCAGAGTGGAATACTGGCTAGATTTAAAGAAGGCAAAAGGATGGCATTAATGGAGGTTAAACATACACAATCACATACAGAAATCAAAATTCTTGTACCCAGCATTTTTTTTCTCTCAGCTTCATTTAATCTTCCAAAGTGCCTCTTAAACATTCTAATAGATATCCTTACCTTAGAAATATGGGAACTTTGGAATTTTATCATAAAATTGTTGAGTATATGAAAACACATGAAAAGACTAAAATGTGTAACAGAATGTTTAAAATTAAAACTCTCATTTCTGCTTTTGTTACTGAAATGGTTGTGTTCCTCCTTAACTAAGAATTAAGCACTTTGGTAAGTTTCTACCAAACTCACTTAAAAATGAACAAACTAAGGCTAAGAGAAATCGTGGCTACCTTTATAGAAGTAAATAGGCTTTATGACATTCATGGACAAGTAAATCATAATGTGAGAGGTGCTTATAAAATATATTTTTCTCTTTATTTTAAATATTTATTTATTTATGTATCCAATTTATATTTTAGGTTCATAAATTAGTTCAGCCACTGTGGAAAGCAGTCTGGAGATTTCTTACATATTTATTTTTGAAGTGCATGTGCAGAGTATTTTCAAGAAGTATAGTGGTCCCCTTCTATTTCTGTTCTTGCACCAGATTTCCTGTATGGCTACCAATGTGCCCACCTTTCCAATACTTCCTACTTTCAGGGAGACAAACAATAATGAGAGAAGACACAGGAGGACCAGCATCAGGGCTGGGGTGTGAAAGGAAGCACATATTCTTCAGTCAATACAGTAGGTTTTGGAAATGCTTGTGAACATGAAGTCAGCTTTCCCAGGGATGAAAATTAGGAAGTGCAACTGGCTATAATGTGAGGGGACTCAACCCGCTATGGTCCATAGATGGAATCCACACATATTCCTGTTTCTCAAGATAATCCTAATTTGACACCTGTTTTTATGCTCTCAGAAATGAAGAATTTGGCTGAGAAGACAAATTCTACAACATGCCTGCTGGTAGAAGGTTTCACAGTCATTTAAATCTTGTTCCCAGCTAGCCACTACAAAGGAACCTAAAAGACTTCAGAGATAAATCATTTTTGTTGACCCTGGACTTGTCAAAAGGATGCATTTTCAGAGAAGTTTTGGCCTATGCTTAGTCTCACTTTCTTCCTATGTTAAGCAGTTTCTTGATTTCCATGTCCAAGTTTTTATTCCTTCAAATATTAAATTATTTAATAGTGCCAAACACAATAATTCAACAAATAACTGTCAAAGATGGTGACTTTAAATGAAAGTAAGACACTAATATATGTAAGCATGGTTTTTGCTTTTTTTCTCCTCTTCCTAAAACAAAATGAAGCAAAATAACTGAACTTTTAATTTTAAATTTAATACTTTTTAAGAGTTTAATTATGTAAGATCAGGTATTCATACATCGTCTACTGTTTTACTTGTCTGACAGTATCTGGAAAGTGAAGTACTGTCAAAATAAAATTTCTAGTACCAGAATACAGTCAATGCAGTATATGAGACAGCTGTATCAGTTGGCATATTTCAAAAAGGAAATTTAAAATTGATATAGTTATCCAAATTAAATGTTTTATGAAAGATAATCCTTTGTCCTGTTTTCACTTTGATACTTAAGGAAAAATAACTTAGATACAAATTATTCAAATTATGGCTCAATATGCAACCCATTTGCTAATCTTCTACATTGATTAAAATACTAAAACATTATTTTAGTCTAAAATAGACTTTCACATTCAAGAAATAAGTATGATCTTTTTCCAACTTTTATTTAACACACTTTCCATTATTTCTAACTTAATAAACTTATTTCCACAAATATATATATTCCTCAGGGAGATGTGTAATAGATATGAAAAATTCTAGTAAGTTTTTGATATATCCAAAAATATTGACTACCTTCTGAGAGGTAATGTACATAAGCCAAAAAGAACATTAACTAAGCTACAATCTTAATTTTTAGCATGCTTCTAACAGATAAAACACAGGTAGCACATGTGCACATGCATATTTGAAGGATAAATATTCTGGCTTATTTTACATAATTTACCTCTAGAGATAAATTTAATTTCTACATTAAAATTCTTTGCCATCTCTTTTAGAAAATGCATGTCTATTAAAGCTGTTGTGATAGATAATATGTTGAATTAAAAGCATTAATTCAAATCAGTGCCTTTTTGGGAAAAATTACTTAAGACATATCAAATGCCCCCTTTAGATTTACCATAACTTTATACTTTAATTTCCAGTGAAAATAGAGAGGCACATTTTATAGAGTAGCAGAAGTAATACTGCAGGTTAGTTCAAAATGGTTTTCTGTTTTGTCAGGTTGAAACTGACCTTCTTCACTAATTTTCAAATATTTTATCATTTTGATTTTTAAACATAGGTGTTTAGCTTAAGGAAACTAAACACATGCTGAAGAGATAAGGGGATTCTATCCTCCTATTTCAAGCTAAAAACATAACCTCTGAATTATCTTTTACAGTAAGCCAAAGCCAGTATCACATACCTTTCGAGAATGAATTTCTTTCACATACAATGGAAGTAGAAACTCAGATATACCTTCAAGTCGGATTCCCTTCTTGGTGACTCTCAGATTTCCCATACCATCCTACAAGCAATGAAATATAGTTCACTTTTAGGTTAATTGGAGAATGAATATCTGGCCATAATTTTCTTAGGCCTAAATTGAGAAAACAGTGAGCTCAAATCAGTGATGATTTAAGGAAAATGAGATCTTCAATCTACTTAATTAATGATTGCAGCACTTTGCATGCATATAGAGGGCTCTATTTAAAATGAAAAAGAAGATTTAAAGGACTGTGTCTTCTTCTAGCTTTACCAGAGACTAGGATTTGCCCATGAATAAATCCTTTACTTTTTTCATGCATCAGTCAGTTCAACTATTTACTTTGTTTAATGATCCTTGCTACCTGACTGTTGGAAAGAACTCTGTTTGCAGAGAAATCTAGTAATATTTTTACATTACAGTTATGCAAATAACTCTAAAATATTCTGAGTCACATTTGTACAATAATTTTCACAAGTAATTAATGATAGTCTGATATTAGTAAGTATTCAAACAATGAGTAGATGTATGTCAGATCCTTTGGAAAATAGCAGTTTATGAGAAGAATAAAATGAATACACAAATAATGCTTATGTGACAGAATAACATAACTAAACAGAGTGTGCTATTGGGAATTAAAGAAAGAGGATTTTATATCTGGCAAGATAGTAAACAATTGCTCATGGAAGGGATTGACTATGATAAAGTCATTAAGAATGTGGAATTTCAACAGGGAAGGTCCCTGGAGGCTGGAACAAAATGAACGTGCTGGCAACATTTAGGAAATAGCATGCCATCTGATCTTACTAAGGTATGAGATTTCTATTTTTGAAATATTGGGAGAGAAAGAAGTGAGGAGTACATTTTGGGGACAGAGAAAGGAAAGCCACATATACAAAGCAAAGGAGAATGTAATTCAGTCAGATTCCAAGAGAAGACACTTTAAAAGTTCTTACATAGTTCAATGGCTTGAAATGAATGGAGGCAGGCTTCAAGATTAATCTGGCAGAAGTACTGTTTAGGGCTAACTGATACAGTATTACTAATATCGCATAACTTGGTAGTAGTTTGAAGAATGTGGTGGAAGAAAAATCTACAGACTTTTTGACTAATTTTATGTGAAGACACGAAAAGGAAGAACTTTTAAGATTAAGATTTCATAACTAAGCATGAATAAGAAAATATAATGATTTTAAAAACTGAAATAGTAAAATTTATAAGCTCAATACCAAAGTAAATTTAACTTTTCACTTTCTAACACTAAATCATCATGTAAAATTGGTTTATATATATATATAATTATACACAAAACCATATATAATTGATCATACATAAGAATATGTAATTGATCACATATCATAATCATATAATGTTAATTATGATTATACATAATCATATATAATTATATATACATGTACACACATATATATATGTGTGTGTATCTGTATATATATATGTGTGGATATATATGTATGTATATACACACACACACACACACACACATACACATATATGCACACACACACATATAACCCAGCCCATCTGTAGAAAGGGATGAGGACATGACAATTTAGAAATATCTGAATCTATCATTATGGATAAACCAGCCCAAATGGACATATATATATAAAACCAAGCAGAAATTCTTAGATGATATCAATGGGTTGAGAAAATATATTTTATATATTCAGGGATGTTGTGATCAGTATAAGAAGTGAGTTGAGGGAATAGAATGGCCCAACCCCTCCAAAAAAGAAAGCCATTGAGGTAGTATTATGTAACACAATGCTATCAGCAATAGAAAATACAGAAAAGTTTTGAAGGAGGAAAAATGATTCAGATTTAACTAAGAATTGAAAGACTTTTTAAATTTTTTAAAAATCTAGACTAAAGGATAATGACTACAGAGCAAGAGGAATATTTGGAGGTGGTGAGATTTGGATTGTCCTCTAGAAGGAGAAAGTTCAGTAGATGTTAAGAAATATGGGAATTATAATATGAAGACAGGTTTATCATCAGAAAATGTAATTTTGCATTTGGAGATCTTGAAGTTGAAAGCATTTTCAGACATGATAAGACCTACAGAACACCCCCATTGGTGGAGGCAAATTTAAGAATACACAGAATTCTCTGGTATCCAGGAAGCTAGGAATATTAATTAGAACTTATGACATGGGGCTTTAAAACATTATTTTGTCTAAGAGGAAATTTCTCAACTCAATTTCACACAGTGACTGTCCATATTTTTTCTTAAATCCTTGCCAGAAGGAAATGTTCTGTCTGAAGTGCTCCCCGTAGAGTTGTTACAGAAATATCTGATGTCACTGGGAGATTGTCTCAGAGCAATGGAAACAAGTTCTAACACAATTGTAATTCCCATTTCAATATTAATACTAAAAAACGTTCTGATGAGATGATTAGAATTAGAGAACCAGGCACCCACAGTAAAGTGAGATATTTCTCATGCTATACACATCTTTGATGTTGGAGTTTTCAGTCTTGTGCTTTGTGTGTTTTCTTCTTATATTTTCTACTTAATATATGATTTCAAATATACAATTATATTTCATTTAAATTAGATAAAACAGAATTAGCCTCTGTAAATGTAGAACAGTTCTTATAATATCATGTCATGAATCTAACAACTCTTCACTACGTCTATTTGTTTCTCCTTTTATTAATTGTTTCTCCTTTTATTAATTGTTTCTCTCTCATATGAAAAAAATGAATTTTCAAGTTTCCATATCATCTAGATAAAATTATAAAATGTATAAAGCTGTATAACATATATAATCAACCTGACCCTACCCTCACACTCATAAAGTCCAGTAACGACTTATGAGTTGATGAAATCATCTGGTTTTCCTTCTGTAAGAGCATTAGAAATTGAATTTATTTTTACTGTCACTCCAGTTTTCTGATTCATTTATTTTCTTGATCCCTTCAACATCTGAAAAAGAGAAAATGATTTTTTGATTTTCTGTTCAGGAAGACATTGTTACCAGGAGGTAACAAACTCAAATGTACTAGACCCAGACCTTGTCTTGGTTCTGCCACCTCCTCCTTTTGTTAAGTGTCAACCACTTATCACTTTGTGTCTTAATTTTATCATCTGTAAAAGAAATAATAGCATAATTTATGTGTCTATTTTAAAGATTACATGAGGATGTAGAAAGCTTAAAATAGTGCCTAATTTATGTCAAACTACTCAATAGTTTTAACTATAATTAACATTTGACTTAAAATTTTAGGTTTTGTCATGTATTATAAAAATTCATGTTATTTATTTTCAGAGAAATTATCTTCGAACTTCAGTAAAATCTACATTGAATTTCATCGTCATTATAGTTATGATACCCTTGTTCATCATCCTGTAATGTCACACATTGTTATGGTTCGGATGTGTCCCCTCTAAAATTTGGGTGTTGAAACTTCAGGGCCAATGTGATAGTATTAAGCGGTGGAGTCTTTAAGAGGTGATTAGGCCAGGAGGGCTCCTCTTTTTAAAATGGAATTAAGGCCCTTATAAAAAAGGTAAATGAGGCTTCATGCGGTGTTTAAACCTCTTGCTCCTCTGCCTTCCTCCAGGTAAGTCACAGCATTCCTTCCCTCTGGAGGGTGCAGCAACAAGGTGCCAAAATGGAAGCAGACAGCACCCTTATTCAGAAAACAGAACCTGCTAGTGCCTTGATCTTGGACTTCCCAGCTTCCTAAACTGTAAGAAAGTATTTTCTTGTTTTTTCTAAATTACCTAGTCTCAGGTATTTTATTACAATAGCAAAGACTGACTAGGGCACATGTGATTTATCTAATTTTGACAGACAGTATAGTGTCATTTTGGAAGAGGATATGAAATCAGACATTTTGGGTTTGAAACTTGACTTTTATATTTACTAACTGTTGAGTTTGACATGTTATCTATCTAAACCTAAATGTGTATTTTATAAACATCAGACAAATAACAGTATTCCGGTGGGAACGATCCAAGATGGCCGATCGCTAACATCCGGGATTGCAGCTCTCAGGGAAGGCGCGGAGAATTAGAGGACGCCACACTTTCAGACAAAGTCTGGTCGCTCACGGAGCAGAAGATCCCCCAGTGGTGGAAACACACGAGTCGCCAGCGCGACTCTCGTGGTCGGCGCAGTGGTTCCTCCGGCACCGGCACGGCAGCGCTCGGCGCAGAGTAAACAGGACCGGTTTCCCTTCTGACCGAGGTTTGGAGCCCCGGGAAGGCAGAGTCGCCTACTACAGAAACAAGAAGGAAGCCCGACAGGAGAATCCTGGGCAGAAAAGCACCATCAGTCTTAATGCCGCAGCTCTGGCCCTGGGAACTAACAACCTGGAAGTCCACTCAAGAGACCTAATCTGAAAGTTGGTAATTTCAAAGACGACAGGAGGATAAATTTACAATGACGGGAAGAAACCAGCGTAAAAAAGCTGAGAATACTCAAAGTCAGAACGCCTCTCCCTCTAAAGATGATCACAGTTCCACATCAACAATGGAACAAGGCTTGATGGAGAATGAGCGCCTCCTGATGACAGATCACTCTTCAAGGAATGAATAATAACAAACTTCGGTGAGTTAAAAGAACATGTTGTAGCCCAACGTAAAGAAACTAGGAACTTTGAAAAAAGGTTTGATGAAATCCTATTGAGAATAGACAACTTAGAGAGGAGTATGAGTGAATTAATGGAACTCAAGAATACAATACAGGAACTCCGAGAAGTATGCACAGGTTTAAACACTCGAATTTTTCAAGCAGAAGAAGGGATATCAGAGGTCAAAGTCCAACTTAATGAAATAAAACATGAAGAAAAGATTAGAGAAAAAAGGATAAAAAGGAATGAGCAAAGTCTCCAAGAAATGTGGGACTATGTGAAAAGACCAAATTTACGTTTGATAGGTGTACCTGAATGCGACGGAGAGAATGAATCCAAGCTAGAAAATACCCTTCAGGATGTTATTCAGGAAAATTTTCCTAAACTAGCAAAGCAGGTCAACATTCAACCCCAGGTAATACAGAGAACACCACAAAGAT